GGGAAATTTAGTTTCATTAAACACTACATCTTTCGAGATGTAGAGACGTTCATCAGCAACAAGACATTTGTAACCTTTGTGGGAGGTGGAGTAACCAAGAAAAACACATTCTTGAGATCAAAATTGAAGTTTGTGTTTGTTGTAGGGCCGAAGATGGGGAAAGCACGAGCAACCAAATATTCTAAGAGAGAGATAATTTGGTGGTTGATGGAAAAGTTTATGATAAGGAACAACATTCTGAATAGATGAGGAGGGGAGGAAGTTGATGAGATAAACTCCAGTGAGAAAGGCATGATCCCAAAATTGCATAGGTAATCCAGCTTGAGCCAACAACGTGAGACCAAGTTCAACAATGTGCCTGTGTTTTCTTTCAACAACTCCATTCTGATGGTGAGTGTGTGGACAGATTAGACAGTGTTGAATTCCAACTTCATTCAAATAATTAGTGAAGGAACGATACTCACCACCCCAATTAGTTTGCAATGCTTTGATTGGGTGGTGATACTGATTGTTAACCATAGCGTGAAACTGTTTGAAAACATTAAAGGTTTGAGCTTTATTTTTGAGAAGATAGATCCACGTAAAACGTGTGTGAGCATCAACAAAGGTGACATAGTATTGATATCCACAGGTTGACGTAACCGGAGCAGGTCCCCACAAATTGTTGTATACTAAATCAAAGGGTGTATTTTAAATAGTTTTAGACAAATTGGAAGGTAATCTGTGGGATTTGCCAAGACAACAAGGAGTGCATAAATTTGATTTATTATTGGGCACAAGTTGAATGTTGAAGTTGCGGGAAACATGTTTCATTACATCAATATTAGGATGTCCTAATCTAGAGTGCCAAGTGGCAAAGGAAACAGAGCTTTTTGCTGTAGTATTGACAGAGAAGGTTCTGGCCGGATGCACATGCTGGACAGATTGCGGACTGGGAGTTGGAAGGAGTGCAGGAAACTTGTATAGGCCATCAGGACCAACCAAGCCTTGGAGAAGAACTTCTTTAGTGTCCTATGATTTGACCAAGCAAATGTAGGGGTGAAATTCAAAATATACGAAATTATCCTTTGAGAATTGACTAACACTGATTAGATTTTTTGTGATAAAGGGCACAAATAGAAGATTGTTTAGAGCGAATTGAAACTTAGGGTTGATTGGAGAATGAAAGGTGGTAACACCTGTGGAGTTAATGTGAAGCCCTTGTCCATTGCCAACATGAATTTGATCGGGTCCTTTAAAAAGAGTGAATTGATGAATATTTTGAGAAACATTGGTAACATGATTTGATGCCCCAGAATCCGGATACCAATTGTTGTTGCTTGAAGAGGAGGACGATGCAATCATGGCTTGAGGTTGCGCCTGGGTGGAGGTGAATTGGACTTGAGGAGTAAATTGAGGTCTAGGTCCAAGAATTCCATTCTGATGAGGAGAAGGCGAAGCAGGTTGATTGTTGTACCATGCGCCTGGGTTTGTATGTTGGTTGATAGAGTGGTACGCGGGTGCTTCAAGGGGTGATGATGGGACATAGGTTTCATCAAAACGATAATAGCAGGCAGAGGCAACATGTTCATACCTATGGCAGACTTGACATTGGTACGCAGCAAATCTGCCTCGGCCACGTCCTGCCCGATTGGAGAAACGACCACCACGAAAATTGGTATGACCCCCTCGACGATGAGAAAAGCCAGATTGATTTTCTTGATGAGCAAGGTGTGCTTGTGGGTTCGTGACAGATGGGTTGGGTTCAATGGTGGCGGTGGTGACATTAATGTAGGCAGCGGCTTTCTTCTTGAATTTGTCAAGACGAGATTCATGGCCAAGGAGCAAGGTCTCGACTTCATCTATGGTCAGAAGGTCAAAACGGCTACTGATGAGAGACATGGTGGATTCATATTCTTCGGGAAGCCCTTCAAGAATTATATCAAGGTGTTCCTTCAGAGAAACAGAGTCGCCTATGGCTGTGAGGGCATCAACTAGGGTTTGAATTCGAAGCACATATTCAGAGATTGACAGATTTTCAAGGCTTGTACTGCAAAGTTCATTGCGCAATTGGCAGGCTTTGGCATTCATATGGGAGTGAAAGTATGAGTGAATTTTGTCCCAAAGTTGGAAGGAGGACTTGCAACCGATAACTCGTGTAAGCATGTCTTTAGACATGGAGGACTGTAACCAAGAAAGTAGTAATTGATCTTGTTGTTCCCAGGCAAGATAGGATTCAGAAATGCAACCAGCATCTCGGTCAGCAAGGGTTGCAAATTTTTGAGGGATTTGAGGGTTGACAAGATAATGGTGAAGGCGGTGACCCTTGATGACGGGTTCAACCTGTTGACACCAAAGAAGATAATTCTTGGTGCCAAGTTTTTCGGAGATGGTGTGAGAGAAGGTGAGAGACGGATGGGAGTTAGGGGGTGGATTCTTGGGCGGGACGGTGTTGACTAGGTTGGCATGAATTGGTGGAGGAGGGGTGGTGGTGGGGAAGAATTCATTGTGGAGGTAGATTCAACCATAGGAAGATGTTGGTCGAGTGGAAACGGAGGAGAGAAGAAGAGGATCAAGAAACTCTATGATACCATAAAGGAATTATATGTGAGAGAGAGAGAGAGAGGAGGCAAGAGATAGAGAAGAGAGTAGTTTTATAATAGGCAAAGGATATAATTCATTAACACACCGAAAACAGAGTACAAGTTAGGTTTATATAGAGCCAATTAAGATTGGTCTATAATAACCTAAACATCTATAATAACCGAACTATCTATAATAACCAAAATATCTATACTAACCGAAATATCTATAATAACTAAAAATATCTATAATAACCGAAAATAACAATAAAGGAGTAAAACTATACTCCAATAACAAGCAATTTTTACCAAGAAGAGGGACAAAGACAAATATATAGGACTTTCATACCCTATATTTTTTCACGATACATACAACATACATTTATTAATAACTCTCTCAATTTTTCGACGTCAGGATGAGGCATAAGATGGTATACCTCTTTTATCATTTATCGACAAAAATAATCATCATTTTTTTTTAGACAGATGATGCCTTGTGTTCACCAACTCTATACTTGTACTTTTGTACTCCCCATCTTTTTTAATTAAAATGAATTTTCATACCGGAAGTTATTTATACTAAAGAAAACAATAGATCACCATTCAGCAAACAACATAAATATAAATTAATAAACATAAATGTCCTAACATACAACCAAAGTCATTTTTCAATTAAAGTTTTATGTTGTGTCGTGATGCAAATTTAATGAATGGAACAGAGATAATTCATGTTCCAAGCCATGCAAAAAAAAAATGTTGTGCAGTATACCTGCCTGTGTATTCCGCTATCAGTTACATTAATTAACTGTAAATCTCGAGCTGAAAGTTCAGCATCAAGTACTTCCTGGGATTCAACACTGCATATTAAAATGTTAAAAGTAAATAAGACTACAAACAAGTTGATACATCATATGCTATGAAGACTGCTCAGAACTTATTTGGCAGTCCTCCATATTCCAAATTTCCAATTTGCAAAGGCAAGAGCTGAAAAGATTTTTACCTACAACCAGTACACTGAAAATCTTAAGAATTGCAACAATGATATGAACAATCCAAGCAAGTTTATCTTCAATCAGTGAGGTTACTGTTTTCAGGAACATGTAATCTTGCTCTTTCCTATTCCAGTCATTAAAAATAGTTAAGCATCAATCTTTAATTCATTTCTCTCAACAAAAAAAGTACCAGCCTTCATTGAAAGTTATAATCACACCGTGTATATTTGCAGGACTGGCTCCATTATGTTTATTATAAATAAACTACTGCTTTCATACTGCACAATGAATTCAAAGGAGTCAAACAACCAACATAGTTCAATAAATTGCAGCAGAACTGAAAAGGACTAAAACTTAAGAATGAAGAGTTTCCCATGTTGGAAGCTAGATTATATTCAGTAAATGAGTAAAAACAATGATATCTGTCCGACTCCTTGATCAGCCACAAGGTTTGGACTCAGTTGGATGAATTAATTCAAAGTTCACTCTTGATGGTCATTTTCTCTCTGGTTGAAAGGTTAACCCCTCTTTAGTAGGTTTCAAGTTTAGAATCAGAAACACTCTAAATACCCTTTTTGCTTAAGATTAACAGCCAATTTTCTCAGTATAATGAATATCAAGAGAATCATTGATTTTGAATATAACAATTTATTATATATATCAGAAAGAATAAGATATCCTATGTAACGAGGCAACATGGTAAACTGAAGGGGGAAAAGGCCATATCCAAAATGTTAGAGTTAGACACCCTTCTATGCATATCAGCTAGAAAGATTCCCTCAAGTAAACCACCGCATATCTGATTTCAATGCAAACTGTAACAGACTCTGTACAAATGGTAATTTTTCATTTTCAACTTTCTGAGGCAGATCGGCATAATTTAACAATTGCTCAAACTCAATCAGATTTTTTGTAAGTAAATTCTTACTTGCAACTCAATTTGGCAAGATTGGATTAGCAGTTATTGATGTGAAGAGACAGATCCATAAATCCTCCAACTCTAGTCATGTACCAGTGTGTTGTCAGGTTTGGTAATGATTGGCAGGAAACTGTTGGGCTGTTTCTTATTGGGACTCTAAGATTCATAATATCCCAGAATTTGGAAGGGTGACTCATTTTCCATTGGGAGGATAACTTGCTCACAGGAGAGGTAAGATTTTGACTCTCAGTAATTTGGTGCCCAGAACCATTGCTTCAGAGTATTAACTAAAGGTATCTTCCTAGTAGCACCAGGCTGTTAAAAGTAAGTCTAGTTTAAACCATAATATGTGGAATGCTAACATTGCAATGATCACAACTCATTCAAAACCTAAAAAGTTCATTTACATGATCATGTCTCTTTTAGACCACTGGCTTTTTTAAATGTGACTTGATATTTCAGAGGATCTTTCAAAGGTAGATGTTATCTTTATCAAGGCCCCTCTCCATTACTGTCTTTCTTCTTTGCAACATTCTCCAAATCTAAGCTTCAAGAAATTTTGAACATTTCTTTTATTGCTACTTTTTCTCTCAGTAACTTGGAGGACTGACTTTGATCCAGAATCACTAATCTGGAATTCAACAGCTCCTACCAAGATCCTTCTATGAATTAGGATAGTATCAATTCTTTATCACACTTTAATTAGGCACAGGAGATGGAAAGAAGATTTCTTTACTTCCTGTTAGTTTCAGCTTTGTCTTCTACTGCTTTGTTTATATCCTCCTTTGGAATCCTTCTTGCCTTCTAATTAAATTTCTTCTTTTATTAAAATGAGAAGAATGAAAACATTAAATATGGATGATACCTGAAATCTACATAGGTATGGGAAGCAATCTAATTGCTCCTGAAGAAGTTCAGCATTGTCTAAGGGGTTCTCAGAAAGATTGTCAGGTAATCCAGCCTATAAGAAACAGACAGAAGATATTATACTTCCGAAAGTTCTCTTATTAACAGAAGTTTTAAATTAAATACATACAGCCTTGGAGTATGCAGTAGGCAACAAGTAAAGCAGGCATGGATAATTGGAAATACCTGCACAGAGTTGAACCGTGATGTGATGAAACTTTCAGTAATCTTGGGAACAAATTCATCCAGTAAGCTTGGAGCGTCGCCTTTTAAATATGGAACAGAAGACACCAATCTAGACCACATCCCTAATAGGTAGTACACACTATTGCTTGCCCACTGACAATAAGGTATCAGCTTAATAAAGATCTCAATATTTCACAATACAAATGCAAAAAATACCTATGTTAAAATTTTATTAACTAATGAAATATGTTATTGATAATTCTCACATGATGTCACCCTGAACTTTGTTTCCAAAGGAGGAGGTGGCAGCGCCACCATTGTCCCAAAAAAGATAAATTGCTCAAATAGTCATCAGAATGTATTTTTGAGCAGCAATATATCATGTATTCTCTGGAAAATATTTTAAAGCAACACAATAGTTAACCTGCCATGACTGCAATGATTTGAGAGTAAACTCTGCAACCAAACGTATCCAATCGCTGTAGCCTTCCACATTAACAAGCTCTGACAACTGCAGCATTCAATTAACAAATATTGGTAACAGGTTCAAGGTAATTGAGGAAGGAGGTAACTATAGACCAAAAGGGTGTTCAAATGGAATAAATTATATTATAGAACAAGCAAATATTGTTAATCCTCAAAATTTTTCAACATAAATGTCGGTGTATTGTTACTGTAAGAAAACTAACAAATCAGGAAAAGTCTATTTCCTAGTTTAGAGGCAGCAGTTTTGGGAGAGTTAACATTTGATGTTTATTTCCAGGTGCATTAAATGCTCATCAATTTTGAATACTAAATTTTTAACAGTAGAATAAACATACAGTTAGCTGAGAGACAAAAAGGACAAGCTGCAAATAAAGAAGTGAGACAAGGATAGGATGTCCCTGTGGTAATTGGCTTGAAATAAACAGCCCCACTTAACAAGTTCAAAATTAAACATTAATGCCTGTAATTATTGTGTGTATGGAATGAAGTATTTGAAACACTGGCGGAGTAAATATAGAAAGCAATGACAAAGTAGATTAAAAATATATTCCAGCTATTTGTATATCTCTTTTATATACTAACTACATTAAATTAAAAACGAAAGTTAAATGATACGCTAACTAACTACAATAAACAGTGGCAAAGTGCCAAAGTCAAAATAAAAATATGGTCAATCTTTGAAGTTACTCTCCTAGCATGGTGTGTATTAAAGTTTAAAACTTAAAATCCCACAAGTATTACAAGGGCCATTTTGTATGATGCACACAGTTCAGTGCCCTTCTAACTTCTAAGCCAAAGTATGTACCTAGCCTCCACTGCATGAACCCCATATGTCCCTGCTTATGTACATTGCATTACTACCAATTAGAAATAAAAACCAGTAGATAGACCATAAAAGGAGAAAAAACTACACGAGTTTACCTGATAATTCACTCTGAACCGACCAAGAAGACGACAAAACTCATGGTAATTATCATGATCTGCAAGACCTGCTTTCCAACACATTTGAAATTATAAATGCATGGCCAGCAAGGCAAAAACAATGAAATGGAAATAACAAATTAAAGAGTGCTTAAAAATGTGTATGCAAGACTGGCCAATATTTGTCGCAGGAACTTCTTTCTTCACAACATTTTTTGCTATCCTGAACCTAGACGGATTTACTAGGGTTTTCCCTTTTCAATGCTACTGAAAAATAGAGTATGATTGGGTCATAAATTAACTAATCTATTTCCTGACTAATGGTTTATAAAAAGACAACCACATCTCCAGCCCAATTTCACCTGTAATTACAAAATCTCACCAAGAGCTTTTACCTATGTCGAGCATGGAGCTTCTACAAATTACCATACAACCTGCTGATGCAAAAATTAGGTTGAAATTATCATTTCCTAAACTGGCAGGAAATAACTGACTGGTTTGTTGAAGAGGTAAAGAGATCAAACAACCCAAAGGCCAAAGCAAAGATAAATTGCCAAGATGACAAATGCATGCATAAAAAGAAAATGAGATAGAGAAATACTTTTTTATTTGGTGCTTCTCATAATCAATATGTAACAAGGAATCCAAAAAAAAGTGAAACAAAAGACATTTTTCCCCTTTCACCTATAATAATGGAACATAATATTTCCAGTTTGTTGAGTCACCTCATCCTACTTGAGCTTGCGGGGGGATATTGGAGTATAGTTTTACTCCTAAGTATATCTTTATATATCTTTTTATATCAATTTTCTGTTAATATAGACCAATATATCATTGGCTCTATATATACAAATATTGTACCTATTTTTCAGTCAGCTAATGAAATTACAATTGTTATCAAATATTCTCTCCTCTCTCTCGCTGCTTTCTCTCTATCTCACTCTCCTCTTCTTTCTCTCTCACAACTCTATTATGGTATCAGAGCAGCTGGGGCATGTCAAGATCAATGGCAGACATCCCAGATATCTTTCCTCATCATCAGCAGCCTGTGTTGTTAAAATCGCGACCCAACGCGTGAAATCATGCGATTTCACGGTTTGCGGAAACATTAAGTGGTGAATCAAACGCATATTCGGGGCGGAAGAAGAAAACAAGAACCCTAGAAGAAGAAAACAAGAACCCTAGAAGAAGAAAACAAGAACCCGAGAAGAAGAAAACAAGAGAAAGTAAATGAAACGTTTCTCTTGTTTTCTTCTTCTCGGGTTCTTGTTTTCTTCTTCTAGGGTTCTTGTTTTCTTCTTCTAGGGTTCTTGTTTTCTTCTTCCGCCCCGAATATGCATCTGATTCACCACTTAATGTTTCCGCAAACCGTGAAATCGCATGATTTCACGCGTTGGGTCGTGATTTTAACAACACAGGCTGCTGATGATGAGGAAAGATATCTGGGATGTGAGCCATTGATCTTGACATGCCCCAGCTGCTCTGATACCAT